GGGACTCGATCCAGGGACTCCAGGATCATGACCTGAGCCGAAGGCAGTCGCTTAACCAACTGAGCCACCCAGGCGCCCTCTTGTATTCTTTTAAATATTCTTGAACTTTGTTCTGTGATGCAGTTAAGTTACTTGACAATGAGTTTGATCCTTCAGGCTTGCTTTTAAGTTACGTTTGGTAGGACCAGAGCAGCCTTTAGTCTAGGGCTAAGTTTACCTCACTACCAACACAATTACTTTCTGGGCACTACACCCAGTGTCCAGTATATTACAAGGTTTTTCCTCTGGCTGTGAGAACATGAACTATTCCTGGCCCTGTGTGAATGCTAGGGATTATTCTGCCTGCTCCTTTCTGATGGCTCTTTTGCCGTCCTTGGTTAAGTATCTTTATAAGCATGAGATTAGTGCTCAGCTGAAGACTTGAAGGGCATCTGCTACAGATCCGCAAAGCCTCTGCGTCCAGCTCTTCCGTCACCAGTAGTCTCCTCCCCTGCAAATCCCAGCTGCGTTGGCCTCCCCAAATTCACAACTCTGTCTTCCCAGTGCAGAGAGACCACCGGTGTCTATTTGGCTTACCTCTCCCTATGGAACCTGGAAGTTGGTTCTACGTAGTAAACTGGATGATCAAAGGGTTCATTTTGTGTCCCTTCTCTTGGGGCTGTCCTGTGTGGTTTGTTGTCCAATGTCCAATGTCTATTTTGTACATTCTCTAGTTTTTCTTTTTTTCTTTAAGGTGGGAAAGTAGATTCTGTCCCTATTTTTAATGTAATGCTATAAATAATCCAGAACAACAACAACAACAAATGCCCACATCTTCAAATGTCTAAAACCTAGCACAGAAAAGACCCCTCTCTCCTGACAGGGGAAATTTTCCAATAGAAACAGAATCCCATTTTCCTAAACCCATTTGACAACTGTTATGACTACCAAGTGAGAAAGGACCTTTGTTAAAAGAAGATTTCCTAAATGGAGATTTACTGTAAACAAATTCTACTCAATTTGCCACCACAAGTGGTAATTAGCTCACAGGCCTGACTCACCCTCTGTAATTCTCTTACTACGGGCAGTTCTGTCAGATGCTGCAGGAGGAACGCCGTAGCCTTAGTCTCTCCCATTTGCACAGATGATGCTTCTAGCTTTCACAACACAATATGATGTCTCGGAGGCTAAACTGACGGTAAGGAGCCTTGCCAAACAGAAGGCTTTATACTGCAAGTGTTGTAACAAGAAGCAAATGGCTTTCCAAGGAGCACTTAGCCGTGCAGAAAAGAGTTCCAAATTATTTCTGAAAGTAAGAGAAGCCCCATAACCCAGCACTTGATGATCCTCCAAGGCCAAGGTGGGAATGCACTTTTCAAGCAAATGCCCCCTGAAGAGAGGCAGAAATGGCAGCACACATGTGAAGTAAGGTCTGTAGGGGGGTTCAAAGAGACCAGGAAAAGTTGATTTTCTTCCATGATCACTCTCAAATGTCTCAGTGGGACATCACTTTAATCACTGAAGTAAGCTCGGCCCTTGTATTATGTTGTAAAAGGTGAATGGGAACAAATATCAAGAAGGTGCCAGAAGTCCCAGAGCATTTACAAATCTTCTTGGCTTTCCCTACAATTTTCATTTGCTCAACAATTGACCATTTCTATTCACAAATTGTTTTCCTGAGCTGGGGTCGAGAGTGCACGGGGTCTAAGGAAAATGTCCTGCCAGGCAGGTAGGGCCAGATTAAAACCCAACGGGGCAGTACCCAAAGGCTGTCTACAGGGTCTCTGTACCTCTCATGACCTTCAGATGCCTTCTTCGTTCCACCCTCACCCCTCCGTCAAGACTTACCCCAGACCCAGCCATCTATCTCCATGCTCTATACCAGGGCTACTCAAAGTGCGGTATGTACCAGTCCACAGAGATAAGTAGGGATTGAGGGTAGACACTGGGAAACTCTTACAGCAATTGACAGAGTAATTTTAAATCAATTTAATGTAATAACAAAAAACTAGCACTTGTATTTTGCACTTTTACTTCATTTTTTCTAGTAATTTATTTTTATTATATTTTATAAAAGTAACTGTCTATAATAATTTGGAAATTAAAAAAGAGAGACCTGATCCTTCACCACAAATAGCTTGAGAAGCACTGTTTCCCTTTCCCCTTCATCAAATCTAGTGCCAATGTCCAAGAGTACATGGGGGTGTTAGACACACAGAAAAGTATAGGCTACAGAAGGAGAGGTCAACTGGTCCCAAAATGTGGCCACAGGATCTGCACTGAGTTTTAGCCTCAGGAACTGCTGCTCTGTCTGATTTAAAATAAAGTAGCATGATACGATCCCACAGATTCCTATTGTTTCTAACATGAAAGTTCTAAGGTTGGATAAAATCTACGTAGTAAAGCCCCATACGATGTCCAAATGAAGTTAGCTGTAAGTCATCAGTTGAGGATTAAAACTTGCATATACATATCATTTCAAAAGAAATCAACCAACAAGAGTAAATAGCTAAGCAAAGTAATTAACACTGGGGATAGCAGCTGGACCAAATACCAGGTAGACAGTAAACTGAACAGTGTGAACACTACATAGAAACTTAGAAATGTGTACAAAATAGCACCATTGTATTTATTGCAGCAATGTTTATAATGTCAAAAAAAAAAAACAACAACAACAACCCTGTGATTAAGTAAAGGTCCATCAATAAGGAAATGGTTGAACAATTTAGACAATGTCCTCACTCAAAAGACTGAGTTAGATCTCTCCTAGTTGACCTGGAGGTATTTCACAGCATTTTGAAAAGTAAAAAAGGAAGACACAGAGAAGTATTTGTATATTATGTATCCCAATTTTTAAATGGGGGAGGAGGAGAAAGCTTATCTTTGTGGATATTGAAGGTGAGGTATTATTTTATAAGATTATTAGATAGAAGAAGGTATGAAGTCTATCCTCCGGCAAGATTAGCTACTTGGTGTTGGGGTGGAAGGTTCAAGCAAGTAATGAGATCAAAGCAAGCCTCTTTCAAAGTCTTTATAATTTCTAACATAAGCTGCTAGACCATTTATGTAAAATGACACATACAAGCCTGCGTGTGCCTGGGTATCTCTCTCTATGTGTGTGTGCATATATCTACCTACCTACCTACCTACCCGTGTCTATCTACCTGTCTACCTACCTGTATCTATCAAGAGCTGTCTGTCTGTCCATCTATCTACAGAGAGCTGCTAAAGATTGGTCACCAAAGTTATGGTGGTCATCTTGCCCAGGCACAGGGGAGAATCCTGGTGATTTTTTTCTCCCTTATATGTTTCTCTCTTGTTTGGATGTTTACAACAACCAGGTATTACTTATATATAAGAAAAGAGCAGCAACGCTACAACACTCACTTGTATCGTCGACACCTCCCTCATTTCCCACCTCCAAGCCCTGTGTTTCGTTCGGGTCCGGCCCTTCCTCCCTGGTCCTGCGCACCAAGTCAGTCCAGGCTCTCACTGTCCCGGGCCCCTGCCTCTGTCTCTCCCCTCTCCAGCCAATCCTCCACATGGGCGCCAGAGTGACCTTGATGGAACACCTATCTGTCCATGACACTCCCCCGCCTGCACCTCTTCTAGGCTGCTCGGTGCCCTGAGGGGTGGTTCTCGGCCCAGGTGTGCAGTGTAATCTCTGGCACGGCACGGCCCTCCTCGACCGTGCGCACCTCCCTCTGCTCTTCTCCCGCACCGTCTGCATAATGTATGCCCATCCCTGAAGACGCGCTCCAACACCGTTTCCTTCTGCAACCACTCCAGCGTCTCTGCTGCTTTCCCACAGTCCTCTGTACATACTCTATTAGACCACTGATCATTCTTTTCAATGATTTGTTTTCTCCCTCTTCCTCCCTACACTATGAACTACTGGAAGGCAGGACTATATCTTCAATGTCTTTACCAGATGAATAAATGAAATCAATGAATGAATGAGTCTGAAAAAGCAAAGCAGTAAATATAAATGCACGTCAACCATGCCTGTATAAACGATGAACAAAGGCTGCAAAGTAAGTATTTTAAAGTTCATTTTTTTTCTTTTCCAGCAAAGTGGCTTGAGCCGCTTTTTAAATTACTACCAGAAATTCAGTCAGTGAATAATTTATTTTCAAGTTACCAAAAGTTAACTGCACTTTAAATCCCTATAAAATGAAACAGAAGTCAGAAAGAAAGCCATTTCCCCTTCTTAAGTAAAATAAGTTCAGTGCTGTTCTTCATTCTATGCCAGTTCTAGAAACAGCAACTCTCCCCCATAAAACACAGCCCAGCTGTGTGGCTACTTACTGGAGTTGAGGAGGACCATGGCCTTGACACAGAGATACTCTTTGTGTTGGAGTTTTAACTCACGGAACCTTGAAGTTGTTGCCAAGAGCATGTCGAAGATTTCCAGAATTCCTTCTACGCATTTCCCCTCATCCCTACAAAAGTTCATTTGGAAATTTAAGAAACATGCAGCACTAGGCAACCATCAAAAGTAATAAGGAGCATTTTCTTGTTAATCTCAAATTTCATCTTGTACATCCTTTAACAAAATGGTAATGAAAGCACCTCCAGTGACACGAAATTATTAGGATTATCTTCATATAAAGAGGACAGGGAACTTTCCCTAAATTCCAAAAGCAAACATTTGAATAAATACTATTTAGGCAAAAATGTGCATTGGAAATACACTTCCCTTCTACCTGTTCACCAAATGTTTTCTTTAACGGAATACCATTTCTGTTGATTATTTTCGATCTAAACCACTTCAGCCAACCAGCCAGAGTTATGACACATATTGCTAAAATGAGACATTCCATGTTCCCATCAGAAGACTCTGAAGTGCTAATGAGGAAGACTGAATGTTTACCGAAGCAAATGCCCTAAGAAGAAACAACCTTCACATCTACGGCTTAACTCACTCCCCGGTGGTCATTTAGAAACTGGTGAGGCAACTAAGAGACATTTAACATAACTTGAAAAAAAGCTAGTCTGGGGGCGCCTGGGTGGCTCAGTCATTAAGATTCTGCCTTCGGCTCGGGTCATGATCCCAGGGTCCTGGGATCGAGCCCCGCATCCGGCTCCCTGCTCGGCGGGAAGCCTGCTTCTCCCTCTCCCGCTCCCCCTGCTTGTATTCCCTCTCTCTCGCTGTGTCTCTCTCTGTCAGATAAATAAATAAAATCTTTAAAAAAAGAAAAAAAGCTAGTCTGATACACCAAGAAATCACAATTAGAGGAGACGGATTAGAACGAGGAAAGGAAGGTAGAAAGGGAGACATGAACATTTTTGACTTGCCAAAGATTATTTTTAAGCAAAAGTTTTAGACAAACTTTGAACCATATAATCAAAATTCTTTTGAACACTCACAGAAATGAATTTTTATGCATACTTTTGAAGGAAATTACTTGAACTGTATTTAGAAAATACCAGCTTCAATTCACTCCAGCCAGACACACATTATTCTGCCTCACTGCTCCCCCAAAAAACTTCTATTGTCATCAGTCGTAGTCCTTGGAAGCCCTTGACAAGCAGTTAGATGATTTTGCCTTGAAACTCATTTGCGTCTCAACACCTGCAGTGCAGGATGAAGGAGAGCCTGGCAGCAGTGGGCGTCTGCCAGTTTCATCTTTAGTCTCCCCCGCAGCCCCTGAAGGGGACCTGAGATCTTTAGAGAACTGGCTGCTCCACTCCTTCCTTCCCCCAACCCCAAGCCAGGACATTTCTAGTGATGGTGGCGGCTGGGGAAAGGGTCTCTGTGGAACCCAGCGGACACCAGTGGGAACCACGATGCTGGTGCAGCCTTTCCCACCGGGTTCTCTGTGAGGGCAGCAGCTTGCCAGGACCCTGCGTCCCATAGCATTCAACGCCCCCCGCCCCCTCCCAGACTCACCTACACAAAGCTACCAGCAAGAAAATTGTGAGTTCCAAACAAAACTGGTAACTTCTGCAACCACCTGAGGCTTTCTGAAAATGCACAGGTTAAGTGATAAAACACCAATGCCCCCTGGAAATCACTCACAGAGAAAGGCTACCTTGGAGAATCAGAGCCCTGGGCGAGGGGTGCCGAAACCCGTAGGAAACCTCCAACCTTCTTCAAGTCCTGTCCTCCCCACCTCCTCTGCTCCGGGCTGTCCCAGGCAGCCTGTGGCAAGTGCCCAGTGAGGACAACGTATGCTGTGCACATAGCAGATGCACAAGAAATACCTGTGCACCAAATGCCCCCCATGCCGCATAATCAAATCACTGTGCTTGGGGCAATTAATTACTGAAAATTGTCATTGTTGGGCTTGAGGACATCTGACACCGAGAAAAGCTGGTTCTAAAATATCTTGGGGTCGGGGGGGCACCTGGCTGACTCAATCCGTAGAGCATGCGACTCTTGATCTCAGGGCTGTAAGTTTGAGCCCCACAGTGGGTATAGAGATTACTTAAAAATAAAATCTTAAAAAAAAAAAAATAAAGTATCTCTGGGGACAAAAATCAAAAGCCCACCAAGTCCTGCATTGATTGTTTAATAGTTTGGCTCTTTACTTTTCTGTGAGACTCAGTCAGAGGTGGGGTCATGAACATGTAGGTGCACATGTACACACATGCACGCACACGCACACACCCTGCTCCCCAAATAGTATAAGAGGATTCATCTGAAATCAACCCTATTTTGCAGAGGTTGCCACTTGTACCAAAAAACACATCCCTGCGTATTGAAAGTAGTAGCATTTCCTCCTTGAAATGCATGCCATTTTAAATGTAAATTCATATTTCAAAAATGGAGGGAGAGTTTATATTCTAGAGCATCCTAAGCCCTGAGAAATGCTCTAACTCACAATAATCAGAACATGCGTACCTCATGGAAAAAGTGAATCTCTAATTCTAAAGAACGAAGTCTGATTGCTTTTACCAGAGGTGTGATAGCCAACCACTTCATTCAAGGGTTGGCATGGTTAGAATATTTTTACTCACTTCAAAGGCTAGAGAAACCAAATATATTTTTTTAGGAAAGAAATGAAAAATATAGGAAATAAGGTACAATACCTCATAAATGACACCCTAATAAAGTTCTGCCTGAAAAGAGTTTAAATAACACATTAATGAGATCTATTACACTTATTTCATAACTAAGGAATGAAACTGAATTAGGAGTAAGAAATTAGGATAAGATTAAAAGATTTTAATTAAAGAGAGAGGACACATGATTTCAATGTTAAAATATCGAAACAATCTATAATCAAACCAACCCACTCCCAGAAGCTTAACTTTTGCACGGCATTTGTCCATAAACTAGGGCTAAGCAAAAATAAAATTAGTAAGTACATGTGGAATGTCTTATTATGTGATACCCACTCCTTTATAAAAGGAAAAGCTTCTGTTTGATACCAAGGACAAAATGTTGAATGAGTGGACACCGCTTTGGGTGCCCTATTTTGTGCCTACATACATACGCGCTAGGGGCACACACGTGGGCGTATGTAGACCACAGTTCACTTCCGGTGGGGGAGGGGGAACACTAGGGTGCGGGGGCTCCAGGCTTAACACGCGGAGAGGACTTAAATATTAAACTGACGTGGAAATTACCTACATACAAAAAGGGAAATTTTAAAGTGAAAATTCTTTGGGAATCTTGAAACTCAATGCACAAACAGCTAACGTGGAAGCAAACTCAGTACATTCACAATACGATTCCAGGGAATTCCATAAACGTCCACAATGGGGTCCACACCCGGATCCAAACTCCCTCTGACTTTTTAATATGTACCATTAGCCAGTTTCCTATTGATGCCAAGGACATCAATGTCTTACCGTATATGATTTTTTTTTTTATAGATTTTATTTATTTATTTGACAGAGAGAGACACAGCGAGAGAGGGAACACAAGCAGGGGGAGTGGGAGAGGGAGAAGCAGGCTTCCCACAGAGCAGGGAGCCCGATGTGGGGCTCGATC